AGGGGGTGAAGGGCAGGTTGGTGCTAACGTTTGCATGTCTCTGCTTTTAATCGCCGGCCGCAGCTCATAATTCTGGACGCTCCGGTAAGTCTGATGAGCTGTAGGTCAGCTCACTTGGACACCCGATAAACCTCCTCGTCTTTTTCTTCCTCGGCTTCTCCTGACTTCCTCGCTTCATAGCAGAGAGCTCACCCTGCACATGCTCAGGCGATCCAAAATATCCAATGAAATGTCTCAAAAAGCGGGTTAGGGTTATGGTTGGGGTCTCAAGTTGAAGCTAAGGGTGTAAAAATTTGACTTTTGGAGTATGGTTTGGGTTTCAAGTCAGTGTAGTGGTTTGATGTTCAGGATTCATGGCAGCGTTGTGGTTTCCAGTTAAAGTTTGAAGACATGGTTTGGAATTACAATTTCCGACCAAGGACAGGATTTCAAATTTGTATTATGGTTTTTATTTAGTCTGCGTTAAGTGCGATGGATCGAGTTTTAAGACAGCCTTAGGGGGGAAAGTTAGGGTTGTGATTTTAAGTCAGGATTATGATTTCCAAGAAAGGTTTCAAGTCAGAGTTCGGGTCTCAAATCAGAGTCAGGGCCTCACGTCAGGCCTAAGTTTCCCGTTAGGGTATCAGCGTTGGGTTTTCATGGCAGTGTTACTGTTTCAAGTGGATATTAAGCCCTTACATTAGCATTCCAAGTTAGCGCGGATGTTTTCAAGGTAGGGCTTCAAGTCAGGGTTAGGACTTCATACATGGATTTGGTTTCAAATGAAGGTTTCATGCCTGATTTATCGTTTCAAACACAGGTTCGAGTTTCATATGGTGTCCAAGTAGGATATCAAGCTTGTGTTGTGGGCTCCAAGTAGGGCATCAAGCTTGGCGAAGGGTTTCAAGGTAGGGCATCAAGAGGTGTGTGACTTTTGTGTCGTTTGCGTCGACAGGTGGAGGAGAGCGAGAAGGAGTGGGCGGTGCCTCACTGCTTCACCATCTACTCTGCACACAGGACCATCGTGGTGGCAGCCAGGTCAGTCACCTCACTTCCTGTCTGTCGGTCACATCACTTCCTGTTGTTCTGCGCGCAAGTCGCTCACGCTTTGTTTTATGTTCACGCAGCTCCAAAGTGGAGATGAGCAAGTGGATCGAGGACCTCAACGTGGCTATCGACTTGGCCAAGAAGTCTCAGGAGAAGTCCGGCAGCGTCTTTCTGGACGGAGGCCTCGCCGATCACTCCAATCGTAAGAGAGAGGAGGAGTCATGTGACAGAGAGACGGGACACTTTATTAGGAACACCGGGCATGCAATATTGATGAAGAAAAATTAAGGTTTCAAGTCAGATTATGGTTTTAAGAAGTGGTTAGGGTTTGAAATGAGTTTTAAATGAGGGTTTTACGTAAGTCTGTGTTAGGGTTTTGGTTTGATTGGTTTATGTTAGGGTTTTAAGCCATTTTGGGGGTTTCAGAATAGGGTTTCAAACCAGGCTTTGGGTTTTAGTTGAAGGTTTCAAGCCAAGGTATGGATTTCTCATTTGGGGACTGTTGCGAAAAATACCACAAACGCTTGTGTACGGCTTGAAGATAGGGGTAAGGCTTCAATTTTTTTTTTTTTTTTAAACAGGTTAGCTTAAAATACGTTATCAAATCAGGATTGGTGCTTGAAAGAAGTTCTTTGTGAGATCGATGACGTTGTGCAAGTGTACCTAATGAAGTGTCCGGTGAGCGCCTTAGATTCCGTCCCGCCTCACCCTCCACCTCGCTCACCTCCTTCCATCCCTCCTCCTCCTCCTCCTCCCCGGCATCCTCCCCCCCGGCCTCAGGCTCTTCGGACGAGGTTTCCCTGGAGCAGGAGTCTGAAGACGACATGAACTCGTCACGCACATCTCTGGACAAGCAGACCCACCACCGCGCCAACACCACCATGCATGTGTGCTGGCACCGCAACACCAGCGTGTCCATGTCAGACCACAGCCTGGCTGTGGAGGTACTGCTGCCCCCTGTGATCCGAGCCACCTCACATCAGATTGCGTGCGCGCACACGCGCGTGAGGCTTTTGCACCTTGCAACGGAGCGGGTCGTTTTCATACGTCGCCAAAAAGACTCACCAATGTGACACAACAACTCTCTTTGTAACACTCACTCGCCAGTGTTACACACTGACACTCCTGCGCAGGGTAACACGCCAACTCTCCCGTGAAACCTTTTGACCTTTCCTCTGCAACGTAACATGAACCTCCTCTTCTTTTCCTGTACCACCCTGACTTCCTTTACCCGTCCAATGTAGCAAGCCAACTCTTCCTCTCCCATTCCTGTGTAACACACTGACACCGTTTTCTCTTTGGCGTAACACACTAACACTTCTTCTTCCTCTTCTTTCCTGTCTCGTTCTCTGACCATCGGCGGTCAGTTTCTCCCGCTGCGTCCCCTGAGCTGCCTCCTCGCTACCTTCTGGGTCAGGGCCAGAGACCAAACACCATCACACACGTTTGCTGGTACCGCAACCAGAACCTTTCACTCACCGATTACCTGCGCATGAACCAGGTACCGGCAAGGGAGTTAAACGGAGTTCTCGATAGCCTAGCGCGTCCAACAGTGTCCACTTGAAAACATGGTGTCCTAAATCGGTGATTGAGATTGTGGTACATGGGCTGCCTCAAGTGTTACTCAGAGTGTGTTTATGCTATACCAATAGCCCCCGGCTAGCACATGAGCTAACAGGCCACTGGTGAACCTCTCTGGGTAGAAGACATGTTATTTAAATTCTTCGGTGAGGTGATACTGCAAACAACACTTAGCTGTTTTGTAAAATCTAGCATCCAGTGAAGATTTTTTTTTTTTGAGTTGTAGACGTAGCTAGCTAGCTAGCTAACGTCATGTTGTAGTGGCAGAAATGGGCCACAGACAAAAAGAAAAATCTGCAAAACCTGAATGGTGATAAACAGCTTGACATTTTATCACCTTACTTCAGTACAACATAGTTCTCACAAATCTCTGAGTTCACTTTGCAAAGTCTTTCAGTTGTTTTTAACTTTGAAGTACAAGATTTACTTCGATTATTTATTATCTCCATAGGCAATACACCGTAATGGAATCATTTTATATGACCTTTTCTTGTATTTATTGCAGTGTCAAATTGTGCAGAAGGTTAATGAGGCCGAATGTATTACATTAACGCGGTGTTGTGGTGTGCAGAACCAGTTGTCGGGGTACCTTCTGAGGAAGTTCAAGAACAGCAATGGCTGGCAGAAACTCTGGGTGGTTTTCACCAACTTCTGCTTGTTCTTCTACAAGACGCACCAGGTGCGAAACATTTTTGAATCTTTTTGAGTGAGATTTCTTTTTTCATAAATTCATTCATGTGTGGTTGTGCTCAGGATGACTTCCCGCTGGCAAGCCTGCCGCTGCTGGGCTACACGGTGAGCATGCCGGAGGAGGCGGACGCCATCCACAAGGATTACGTCTTCAAGCTGCAGTTCAAGTCGCACGTCTACTTCTTTCGGGCCGAGAGCGAGTACACTTTTGAGAGGTCAGCGTCTTCTTTCCTACAGTATTTTCTTTTTTTTCCCCCCCTCCAATAATTCGCAAAAACAAAGTTTTGTTATGATTGTTTTTACCTGATTTTTTTTTTCCAAGGGTGACGATTTTGTTTATTTTTCATCTAATTGATTTCTCATAATTTATTATATTTGGTATTTTTTTCTCAATTTCTCACATTTTCATTTAATGTTTTGTATTTGTTTTTCTGGTGTTTCTCAGAACAGTCTCATTAAAAATTTACATTTTTTTAATTGTAAAAGTGCAATATTTTGCAGCATTGTTTAAATTGACGTTTTAACTCTTTAAATGAGACGGCAAGTGTATTTTATATTTAGTACTTCTCACTTTTTATCAACTACTTTTGTATTTTTGTTTGTCTTTGTGGCGTTTACCTAATTTGTTTATTTCTAATCAAATTTGTATTTTATTCTTTCTGAAGTCTCATTCAAAATATTTTCAGTTAAAAAAGGGGCCATATTGTAAAAATCACTCTTTGTTCTTTTTTATTTTGTTTTTTTTAATTTAAAAACGTTATCATCCAGCCGATCACAAAATGGCCCCATGAGCTCAATGTGCACACACCCCATTTTTGTGTGTGTGTATGTGTGTGTTTTTTAAGCACCTGCCAGCTAACAGCTCTGTGTTGCACCTGTTGCACTCTCAGGTGGATGGAGGTGATCAAGAGCGCAGCCAGCGCCACAGCCCGTGTGAGCCTGCTGGTCCCCGCCAAAGGAGACGGAGAAAGAGGCCTCCCCGTCGAGATGAACGGAAGTTGACGCGGAGGAGTCCACGTCTGCATGCCTCCTTACATTAACCACCTTAACGTTGATTTCTGCGAGAAGGCTCTTTTCAAGTTTTACAGGACCATCTTATCAAAAAGGGTGTAGCAGGTCTCATGTTGAAGGAGTTGAGGTGCGATGAAGACGACGACAACGAGGAAGAAGGTTCCTGGAAGTGCACACGAAAGACTTGAGTGCGTCGGTGCTGCTATTCGTGCTGGCGTTGAATCAGTATTTGTCATTAACCAAGGCTGGTCCCTACTAAGATGGATGCTCTTAAAACAATTCATGCCGTATTGTGTCGTCTCATAACAAGAGAGGAAGTCTTAAGCGTCTGATCATGTTAGAAGGCGCTACGGTCTAGCCATCTATTTATTGTGTAGTGTGGATGTGTGCGTGCGTGCGGGAGGCTGTTTATTTAGTCTTCCCATTGATTCTTTTTAAAACGTCGTCAAATAAAAAGATCATTTCAGACTACACGCTCAGCCTGAGAATCTCCTTTCACGTAGGTTGATGGAAAAAAAATTAGCATTTTTATTTGAAAATGTTTTTGAACAGGATGTAATCTACGACAGTCTCAATTGTTCGTTCCTCAGTGGGATAGGGGCTTTTCATTCAAATCAATTGTCTATTTATTCTTTAGATATGCTGTTAATATATATATTTTTTAAAAACTTGTGGCCGAGTAGTAATGGGTCAAAGAATACTGATCCATGTGAAAATGGTGGAAAAATTACAGGAATCAAAATGTTTGCCCAGGTATGAGGGTGGCCGCAGAATGACAAGGGGTGGTGGCCATGGCCACCCCTGAACTCCCTCTTTCTCCGCTCCTGTATTCATTTTACCAGAAAATAAAAATAGGTATGAGGGTGGCTGCAGAATGACAACGGGGTGGTGGCCATGGCCACCCCTGTACTCCCTCTTGCTCCGCTCCTGTATTCATTTTACCAGAAAATAAAAACCCAGTGAGACTGAGGTCCCTTTTTCAAGAGTGGTCTGACCAAGATGGCAGAGCAAAATTCATGTCATAACAATGACAATACACTGTACCTTGAAATTTATGGATTTGATAATCTGGATTAGGACTCGCGAGTATCCCGGATCTCGTGGTAGACCTCCCCGTAGACAAAGAGAGGTTTACTTTACTCTGCATGGTGATGTGTGAATTTTTGAGTAAACGGGCTTACTGGGTTGATGACACTAAGTATGAACATGGAAAAAAACAGGAACCCTTTCAACGGTATATTTAGAAAACACTACAAATAATTACCTATTTAAAAAGTACGCTAAAAATGTTTCATTTATACACTTATTTTATAAAAAAATGGAAATGCTTCTTGGGTCATGTGCGCATGCTCACGTGTATAAGGGGGCGGGTCTATGCTCTTCAATAAAATTGTGTCCTTAGAAGGAAACTTTGAACAACTTTGTTTTTTCAATGTTTTTCTTCGACACAAATAAACTTTTACTGTGACGTGACAATCGGCACAATGACAAATTTGACTGACATTTCTCAACACACATTCACCGAGTAAGTCGTCGTTGCAATCCTCCGAGAACCAGCGGACGGAGCGCGAGGTGCGCGCGCCGCCGTGGCGGCTTGGCAGGTCCGCGGAGGCGTCTCGCCGGGCGGCGCATTCCGGGAGCTTCCCGGAGGAGTCGTTAAGAGGATATGGAGATGTTACGTCGCTCGTCCGTGTTCGCCGCCGAGGTGTTTGATCGCTCGCCCACCGATAAGGAGCTGGTGTCCCAGGCCAAGGCGCTCTGTCGGGACTACATCCAGTCGAGGCTGGGTCGCGTGGGCATCGGTTGGTCCAAGCCGGAGCAGCTCGCCTCTTTGTGGGGGACGCACGGTGACGTGTCGGCGGTTCTCCTATGGTTGGGTGAGTGCCACATCCGAACCCGTTAACGCACGGAGTATGATAAACTACCGTACCATATCGAATCGAATGATAATCCCACTGAACCGAACTGTATGGAATTATAAAATTTTATAAGTGATACATCCTTGACTTGTATCGTATCGTATGTATCGAGATTCATATTGAATCGTCTTGAGGATCAATACATACCTCTAATGAATTGTGTATTTTTCATTAATTTTATTGGGGAAAAATGGATTCTCCCCAAGGCTGATTTATATAACGAAAATTAACGAAACAAAAATTGAAGAAATCATGTTCATCATTGAAAATAAAATAAAAACAAAACTGCTTAAAAAATGAATGCTAAGTGATATTACGTATGAAACTAACTAAAACTAACTTTATAGTGAAATTGTCAAACAAATTGTCAAACAAATTTGTTACTTGGGTTGAAATGAATTTTGCATGGTGTCCTGTTTGTGTTTGAGGTGATGAGCTGGAGTATCTGCGTCCCAGCGTTTATCGCAACGTGGCTCGGCAGCTCAACATCACGGTAGCCTCGGAGAGCGTGGTGACAGACGCCTTCCTTGCCGTGGCGTCCGACATCTTTTCCACAGGTGAGCCCGCAGTTGAAGAGTGCCTGGTTGGTGCGGCTTTTATTTATTTATTTATTTATTTAGTTATTTATTTATTTATTTATTTATTTATTATTCTCGCTCAAATTTTGTTTCTTGTACAATTCATTGTTACCACTCGCAAAGAATGGCAATCTTGAATTAAAACGATACACGTACACACGATAGTTTCTGAACTTATCACGCTGCAAACGTGCGTCCCATGCCTCCGCGTCAGGTCTCTACTCAGGTAGGCAGTGATTTCCTTTTCCTAACTCTTGCATTTACTTTATTTTTCTGTTTCGTTCATGTAGGGGGCGTCTGTTATGTCTGTTGTTCATCATGTCACGAGCGCGCGCGCGCGCGCGCGCGTGTGTGTGTGTGTGTGTGTGTGTGTGCGTGTGTGCGTGTGTGTGTGTGTGTGTGTGTATGCGTGCACGTGCTGTATCGGTCGATCGCGATCAAAAAAGTCTGAGCAACCCCGGATTAGTGGTTTGCACGTCTGCCTCACAGTTCTGAGGTTCCAGGTTTGAAATCTGGCTCCGGCCTACCTGTGGCTTCATGTTTTGTTTCTCACAAAAATATGGTTTTGGGGAAGTGGTGATGACATGAAGAGGAAGTTGTTATCAGTCAATGTTCCGATAATGAAGCACTGTGTTAAAATTCCAAGTGCACATTAAAAAGATTTTACATGTACTTTTTGGGGGATAATACCTGTCCATTTTTGATGAACAATTCAGCCTACTAGCTACTGTAGTTTGATGTTGATCAAAAGGTGGTACTTGTTAAGAATTTTTTGAGGTTGTACTTGGTGTAAAATGAACTACTGATCTATTTTAGCAAGGCCATGGTGAATTGTTTGCACACGATTAACCTCAAAGGCAAAACTTTGGACTTTTTCCTCTTTTCTCCAAATGTTTCTGTCTTAAAAAGTTGCACAGCGGCGCAGCTGTAAATGTCAGCAAAGTGGTGTCATCCTGCACTTTACACTCATGGAAGATAAACACAGAGTCAAGTGTGTTTATAGGAAGTGGAGATAGACGGGAAGCCGAAGTTGGGATGCCTAAACGGTACAAATATGGTCGATAGAGGTTTCTGTAAAATGAGAATCACACTGAGCTCTTATTTGCCCGCCGCCCCTTCTCAATGGGACATTGTAATCCCGGCTCATCCAGCCGAAAAAATGCACACGAAGGCATTTTTTCCACTCTAAAAAACCTCTTCTGCTGCCAAAGCAGCAGAAAAGCACAGAACTTCTGCCAAGGCTCAGCTGTGAAGAAAAATAGAAACCATCTTTGTGTTGGGGGAGGCTATTTTCTGGCTCCTGCAAGTTAATGGGACTGCACCATTTTTCATTCGTGGTCATTTAGTGATCCTTTTTTTGGGGGGTGGGGGGGTTGCTGACTTTGCAAACTCAGACCTCTCAGTTCATTCTAGTGCACTTTTCCGAGTCGGAAGTTGGATATGTCCGACTTCCCACCTTCCTCGAACGCAGCACAAGACTCTCAACTCAACTCATCTCAACTGTACAGTATTCATAGAGCACTTTAAAACAACCACCGCTGTATACAAAGTGCTGTACACGGAGCAAAAATAATTCATACAACAACAAACAATAAATTAATAACAAAGACAGTAGAATGCACAAAAACAGTCAAACTAAGTGTGTGTGTGTGTGTGTGTGTGTGCGTGCGTGTGTGTTTCCAGGTGTGACGTGGGGGAAGATTGTCTCTTTGTACGCGGTGGCTGGCTCTCTTGCCGTGGACTGCGTTCGCCACGGCCATCCTGCCATGGTTCATACCATTGTGGACTGCATGGGGGAGTTTGTCCGCAAAAGTCTTTCCACGTGGTTGAAACGCAGAGGAGGTTGGGTAAGTGCACAGACACACACAGTCACACACACGTGCGCAAACACTCATGTTGACTTTGACTGTAGGGTTTCAAAAGTGGATTATGGTTTCAAATTAGGTTTTTTAAGTTTACGTTCGGGCTTCAAAATGGCGCTTCACATCCGGATAGTTCCCCGGCATGAGTTTCAAATTAGGATTTGAAGCCTGAATTAAGTTTTGTGAAAGTTGGGGTTTCAAGTCAGAGTTAGGGTTGAAAAGTAGGGTTTCAAGTGCGGTATTGTATGGCTTTATTTGTTCTTCTTGCTCTTCTTGTTTAGGCGGACCTGACTAAATGTGTGGTGAACACAGAGGTTGGTTTGCGTTCCCACTGGTTGGTGTTATCGCTGAGCACTTTTGGACACTACGTCAAGGCTATGGTGCTCTACCTGCTTAGGGACAAGTGACCCCGGTTCATGATGCCCCTCCAATCCCTGAAACATACAAACACAATTATCTATTCAGTCAAAAAAGTCCACGCGTGCACTTTCTCTGTGTTATGTTGTTAATTTCTATGCCAGTTGTTAAGGTGACCACCACTTTGAAATAAACACAACCACTAGAAATAATGCTACATAGCTGAGTGTCAATACAGTGTTTCCTCACTACTTTGTGGATCGCTTGTTGCAGGTTCAGTCTTGTCGCGTAATTTCAATTGTGACCGTGACCATGTACCTCTAAGTCTCTTTTTTTTTTTTTGAAGGGGGGATCCTTTTTTTTTTTTTTTTTTTTACAACAAACGAGGCCATGAAAATTAGCTTGTCAGGAAGGAGCTGTGTAGATTGTTCGTTATGGCTTAGTAGAGGCATAAATCTCCCCCAAAATAAAATGTTAAAAGTAATTAAAAGTATAAAAAGTCAAAATTCACTTATTGTGGGGGGGGGGGTGACTTGAAACATGTCACCCAGGAAAAGTGAAGGAACGCTGTAACGCCATCGGTTGTGTTTACAATCATTTGCACTGAGTCACCCACTAACTGCACCTTATTAACTGTTTTAGTGTTTCAAGCAAGAAAGTGTGCATTTTTGAACTTTTTTTTTTTTTTTTTTAGCTTTTCACTAAACTGCCTATTATGCTCAAGAATGATAAAAAAGGACGTGGTAATCCTTTCCTGTATTATAGTGTCGATTTGATCCATAGATGAGCACTTTTCACTTTATCGTGGCTATGTTTTATTTCATACATTCCGAATGTTGGCCGAGAAATGTTGATACTGTCAAATAAGTCGTTAATAAATGATTATTTCATTCCTGACACGCTGTAATTGTATGATCTTATTTTGTGGAGTACGACTATGTAGTGCTGTTTTGAAACGGATTTGTGTAAATAAACTAAGAAAAGAAAGAAAGAAAAGAAAAAAGTCGAACAGGAATAATATATTTCCACAATTTATAAAGATACATTGCCTGGACCAATATGGCGACGTTCGAACGGTTACGTCCGTTCCATCAGGCGGCACATAAAAAAAAAATCACGACACCGACACCAAAGGGTAACATTATTTGTACAATAATACATGATTTCATAATCATACTAAAATATACATACCGAGGACAGTACGAATAAAAAAATTGAGACTGTCAGAAGTCGGAAGTCACGTTAGGGTGCCGTATATCTCTTGCGTACGTGTAGGTGGAATTACAGCGCCGTCTTGCGTTCCATGGTATTTTCGCACCTATACGTCATCAGTTTTTGATTGGTCAAAGCAGGCCGTATATCAAATGCTATTGGCTGTACTGACAATCGTCCCGCCTTCCTCTCAACTTCCGCACTAGTACTCTCTCGCTATTGGTCGAGCTGGCGCCAGACTGGCTCGAAAACAACAAACAAGTCTAGCACAGGCACAGCTCGTCGGGATGGACGCAGGTAAGGCGAGACTTTGGGGCAAAAATTACGCCAGAACGTCAAATCTTGTCAAAACAACACAATAACACGTAAACAACGAAAGTCCACCCCGGGCGACAGTCGGCTTGGGTTGCCAACCTAACGCAGAAGCGACATTCCGTTGGAGCTTCGCTGGCGTTAGCCCATCTAAGTGATGACCAAAGCTAACTGCTAAATTACGCCAGCCTGTTGTTTTGTTTTGTTTTAATGTTGTTATTGTTTTTTTCTTATTCTTTGAAGTCTTACATTGTGTGTCGAAGCCATTTGTACTTTGTATGCACGATTTGATAAGTTCCTCTTGCTTGTATTGGTAATGCTATAATTTTAGTGTTTGCTCAGTCATCATTCCCAAAAGGTGACAGACAACTCACACACTGTAAAAAGCTAGTTCCTTAAATAGCGTCCCTTTTGCCTGGGAATTGATAAATGACAGCTCATTTTAAATAGTATGCTGTTAGATGTAAAATAAGTCTGAGAAAAACTCAAAATAGGATCGTTCCAAAAGTATCTGAGTGGTCGTGGGTGTCCCAGGATGGATTTGGTACGATCTTGTCTGACGTCACCCGAAGACAGTGAACAAGACAGTAGCTGCCTAGCTACCATACAAACTCTTACAAATATATATTACATGGACTAAAGATATCACTTTTGTTTGAGGGATTTATTTCAAATGTTTTTCAACCCCCCATATCAATTCTAATTGGTGCATGCTGATTTAGATAGTGTTTTTTGAGACACCTAATGTAGCCACAATGGAGCAGTTCCCCCGTCCTAGAATATAACATGGTACAGTCCTGTTGTCTTCCGTCATTACAGGTGAAAAGTGTGGGCTATTTTGTTTGAAAAGACACCTAGGAACTCCCAATTTGTGGTGACAAACATATGTTTTCCTCACTCAACAGCAACGTTGACATACGACACGCTTCGCTTTGGCGAGTTTGAGGATTTCCCCGAGACCTCTGACCCTGTGTGGATTTTAGGGAGAGAATATAACGCGCTCACAGGTAAGCACCCTCGACAGTTTTTGGCTTTTACACTGCAGGTCACAAAGCAAGATGAGAACGAACACGGGAAATGGAAAGAATCCATACAAAAGCAGAAAGTTCAAGACGATGTACGTGTTAATGCCAATAAAAACAAACACAATGTGTTTAGACTTGCTTATTTTTGTAGTTGACGTGTTACTGGTCTTCCTTTTATATATATATATATATATATATATATATATATATATTGTTAAGCATTTCTACACGCTTGAGGCACCATTGGTAGTTTGCTGCATCAACCCACCATCACTTTATTTCATCAGACGTCCATATTGTTGCCCAAACTCATCACTGGTGACTAATTGGACAACAATAACACAAGAAAGAGCAGCACAATGACCACTGAACTGAAGCAAAAAAAAAAAAAATGTGACTCAATGTGTTGTTTACCCAACAGAGAAAGATGACATCCTATCAGACGTCACCTCACGACTTTGGTTCACGTACAGAAAAAACTTCCCCCCTATAGGTGAGTGCCATGGACGCCGACTGAACTTTTTTTTTTTTTAACTTTGGAAAAGCCGAAGAAGAAAAAGTGTGAGCCCTTATGCATGTTTTCAGGCGGCACGGGGCCCACGTCGGACACGGGATGGGGCTGCATGCTGCGGTGCGGGCAGATGATCCTGGGCGAGGCGCTCACGTGCCGGCACTTGGGCAGAGGTAGCGTATGGAGGGTATATATTGGATGTATATCGGATGTATATTAAGACACGTCCCAGTGCTTATAATGGTTTCCTCCGGGGCAGACTGGCGATGGTCGTCAGGGCACAAGCAAAGAGAGGAGTATGTTAGCATCCTCAACGCCTTCATCGACAAGAAGGACAGTTACTACTCCATACATCAGATCGGTGAGTGGCGGCCACCTCGTACCACCTCCTCCCCGGCCGGCTTCGGGGACTTGGCTTATTCTTTGGCTTTGTGGAATGAATCCCGCAGCACAAATGGGAGTTGGCGAGGGCAAGCCCATAGGACAGTGGTATGGACCAAACACAGTCGCACAGGTTCTCAAGTGAGTATCTTCTCAACATTAACGGTCTTCCAAACGACAGCGCGGGCGGTTAGCGGTTAGCACGTCGCCCGTCCGTTGTTTGTCTTTGGCCAGGAAGCTGGCGGCGTTCGACACGTGGAGCAGGTTGGTGGTGCACGTGGCCATGGACAACACGGTGGTCATCGAGGAGATCAGTGAGTGGCCGTCGATCGGTCGCGCGAAGGTGCCAAGAGCGGTGACGAGCGGTCGCGGTGTCCATCGCAGAGCGTCTGTGCATGCCCTGGTTGGATGCGGCGGGGCTCGGCGCGTGCGGCGATTTGGCGGCGGCGGCGCCCGGCGAACTGAACGGCTGCGCGGAGGGCGCCTGCGCTCTCCCGGGGGACGATGTGGAACTTTGGAGGCCGCTCGTCCTCCTCATACCGCTCAGGCTGGGACTCAGCGATATCAACGACGCCTACATCCAAACGCTCAAGGTGACGCTCGCGTGTCGCTGCTTTCATCGAGGCAACGCATCGGGCTTGAAAAGATACGGGCAAAAGTATCGGGACACCTACAGGAAGTTGAAAGGCGATACAAAAGTGGAATTTGGATCAAAGTACACAGGAGGTTGAGAAGTTGCGAAAACTAGCTTTAATCCACATTTTTTTTTTCAACTTTCTCGAGGCGTCCGAAGATTTTTACGCAGCATGACAAAACGTGTTGTTGCGTTCCCACAGCAATGCTTCATGCTGCCTCAGTCGCTCGGCGTCATTGGCGGGAAACCAAACAGCGCTCACTACTTCATCGGTTATGTCGGTACGTCCCCCCCCCCCGACCCCACATTTGACCTCTTGTCTGGCGTCCGCCATTTTGTTCATCTCTCGTGCTTCGCCGCCCTCCAGGCGAGGAGCTGATCTACTTGGACCCTCACACCACGCAGCCCGCCGTGGACCCCTGCGACGACGGCCACGTGCCCGACGAGACGTACCACTGCCAGCACCCGCCCTGCCGCATGCACATCTGTGAACTGGACCCGTCCATCGCCGCCGTAAGGAATCCGTCCCCACCACCGGCAGCCATTTTGTGCCGGATCGCCTTGATATAAAGAACCCCCGTGTCCGCGTGTCCCGCCAGGGTTTCTTCTGCAGAACAGAGGACGACTTTGACGACTGGTGCATGCGCATAAGGAGGGTAAGTACTCAAATGTTTCGATCGGGACACCCACAGGAATTGAAAATGTGGTATTCCTTCCTCCTTTTCAAATCTGTACGATGTCATTTTAACATTTTACTGCAGTTGTCGTGCCACCGAGGAGGCTTACCGATGTTTGAGCTGGTGGACAGTCAGCCGTCGCACATGGTCAGCGTGGACGCACTCAACCTTACTCCTGGTAAAACTCTGTCTCAGCAAGTTTCGTGTCACATTTGACTTTTAAAACTGACGGAATGTTTTCTTTATGTGCCATTTCCTTCTTCGATATATCTCTCCAATAAAAGACGATTCGCTACAAATCGATATAGTGTACTTCTAAGTGCAACGGTTTGATTCGGTTCAATTTGATGCACTCACATTTTGTTTTTGGTTATACCCCCAGGAAAACGCGCAATTTTTTTAAAATGACTTTTACGACATTATTCGTGTCTTATAATAAAATTCATTATTGTGAATATAATTTTTAAGTCTGTATTTTGTGTTTCTTAGACTTCTCTGACTCAGACCGCCTGGAGCGCTTCTTTGACTCTGAGGACGAAGAATTTGAGATCCTTTCCTTGTGAGGAACGCGCTGACAGTCCAACACGGTTTGATACGGAAACCAACAAACAAAAAAAAAAGAAGATTCTCGTGTTTTTCCACGCGCCGAGTCGGGGGAAAAAGCCGCAATCCAGCTTGGGAACGCCGTGTCCCCACAAAAGGCTGGATGGGACTCGTGTGCGCGTCCTCACCTTCAAACGTGTTTCTGTGGGAGTCTTAACTGCATCACTAACGTTGAGAAATGAGAGCAGAACGGTGCCTTGCCCTCCCCTAACTTCAATCCGCCAGCCCTCAAGCCTGAGTCCATTCCCTAACCCGCTTCAGCTAGTGCTACGTGACCACGCAATGAAAAAAAAAAAATCCTTGCCCACTAGATTTATTTATTTACTCACCACCATACACGGCTCTCAAAAGCAAAGGGAACTCAGGTAGGCTACACGTCTAGAATGAATGACCGCGGAACTTTTTTCATGTGCATTACTGGACTAATAAATTTCCAAGCAAGTCCACTTAGACGCCTTTCTGTGACTCCTTCAGGCTCTACTGGTTGTGCTACACATTGCTACAGAGACTGGAAGAGTCACAGAAAGGCATAGAAGTGGTCGGCCATAGAATTTTATTTCCGCAAGTGGGTGGAAGTCCTGTCAAAGGTTATCGTGCATTTTAGGTTAATCCTGAAATTTGACCCAAATTAACTAATTTGGGGGGGTTTGGTGTATGTATACGTACACACACACATACACACACACAGATAAGAGGGAAGAGAGTAATAAACTGGTAAGATTTCACACCATGTCTCGTCACTTTTGAGTGTGTGTCATCTTCAAGATCATCTTGCCAGAACGATCCATTTTTACGATGGATTGAAATTGACCATTTCGTGAAACATCAGAAAATGACAACTTTATTATAAATCATTCAACTTCTACTCATATGATACGATGCGAAGGCTTCAAGACAAAATTAGACTTTATTTATAAAAACGTAGCGATGGCCGTTCACTTCCACAGCTCTCCCAGAGGTTGCGTCTGCGCCGCGTGGATGGCGTCCAGACTTTTCAGGGCGATGTCTTTGTGAACATCGTCCACGCTCCCGGACGCGTCCACCACCTGCACGGGACGAGGACGCGACATGAGAGAGGAAGAAGATTGAGCGCCAAGGACGGTCTTGGGAATCCTCACCTTCCAGTTGACGGACGAGTCGTCCATGAGCTGACGAAAGCGGTCGAGCACGGCGCTCTGGAAGGCGGCGTCCTCGTAGCGCTCCTCGCCGTAGCGACCTCGTGAAGCCGCCTCTGCCGGGCTCAGCTGCAGAAACAGGACCACGTCCGGTTTGGGCAGACCCACATCCGATCTGGTGCACCAGTCCAGACTGAAACCCTACAACGCCAACAGTTTCTCACAGAATTACAATTATTCAAGTAAAATTAATCTTTCCTCAAAGTTGTGTGAGAGCAAAAAAAAAAAAAAATCTCCAAAAACGACAACTATTTACTCTTGTAAAATGATATAATTTTCTTTTGTAATATTAAAACTTGTTTGGTAAAATTCTAAGGAAATGTATTTGGGGACACACCGGCTGAGGATCGGGTACCTCACCGGTTTGGCACTAGTGAAGGCGGCCCCAGAGAAGGCGTACCGGTCTACCACCAGCGTGGTGCCTTGCTCCAGCTTTCTCTTCATCTCAGGCCTAGCGGGGGAAAAAAAAGTCATGGCGTTATCACAAGAATAAAGCTTGAGTCATCCACTTGTGAGGAAAAAGTCAGACTACTTACACCATTTCCCAACGGTTGGCGGAGAAGAGAAGATGCACCGTGTGGTCCTCCAGCTCGCTCTTCTTCTCCAGGTACGCACTTATCAGCTTTCCGATTGTTGTGCTTCTGTCTGCCAAGAACCAAGCACAAACAGAAAACACTTTCTTTACCCCTTAAGTACTTTAAGCATCATTGGTTCAGCCCGAAATGCTATTACTTTTCCTGATTTTTTTTCAATGGGACAGTGGTGACAGTACTTGAGAGGGAGTTAAAACATTTCTGAGAATTGTCTGTGTTACTACTGTACCACATTTGCATCTCACAGATAAATGCACCTTTTGGTCTATGAAGGGATCAGAGAATGTCACATCTAAAGACTGACCATACATTCGAAACAATACATTCTCTGACACGAGATGTTTATATCCCAAAATAAGTGGTGTAAAGCATAAAAAAGTTCAATTTTTTAAGAAATGTAGAGGTTTTAATTTCAATACCAGGCAGTTTCTAAATATAGTTTGAAAAGAAATCTACAGTTCACCAATTTTATGTAGACAATTGATGAAAGGAAAATACTAATGCGTGCATCGGAAACGTAAATAGAGTTGGGTTAGGTTGGAAGAAGCAAAACTGTGCAGGCTACGCAAGCTAGCCGAAGTTCGTGTCGGGACTCACCGGGAAACCTCATCATCTCCGCCGGGTATCCGCTCTGCTGCAGCGCCTGGACCAGCATCTTGCACTGGGTGGTCTTCCCAGCTTTGTCTACCCCCTCCAAGACGATGAGCGCGCCTCGCTTGGCCGCCATGCCGGTAGACAAAACGCTGGATGTAGCCCGATGGCTCTTCCCGCGTTCGAAAATGTAAACACGGAAGTCTGGAGTCGCACTTCCGCTCCGTTGCGGTGAAGACCCCGCCCCTTGTGGAACGTCATCACGCCGTACGCAATGAGCGACTGTGGAGCGGAGGAGGAAACGACGCACATAACGCCGACAGCTAAGCTAAAAGAGAAGCTCGTGCGAGTTTCTCGCGTCGTGTCCAAATAGACATTGAACTGTGAAATACAGAAACGATACTGTGTACACGTTTGTTTCCAAATCAGTTTAGCTTGTATTTTTTTGGTAATTATATTTACCAAGATTGCGTTCGTTGTTGACACGTGGCTCGTTGGTCTAGGGGTATGATTCTCGCTTCGGGTGCGAGAGGTCCCGGGTTCAAATCCCGGACGAGCCCAAAGTTTTGCCAAGGAGTCAATACTCCAAGGTGGCGTCCATGACAATTCCAGTAAACCGGTTGATTTGCTTCTCTGGTATAACTGGAATGAGTACATTTTGTGGTGGTTCTTGGCCGGAGGGCATGTATTAAAATCAACAGTCAGTACCAAGAATTAGTCTCGGTCGGCACAGTGCTTGACTGATCGGTAGTTCAGTCTCACAGTGCAGATGTACAGGATTCGATTCCAGCTCCATCCTTCATTGATTGTGTATCCTGCTTAAAACATTTTCTCATTCAATGCAACATCAATCAATAGAATTTAAAATAATTTCAGGTGGCACGATAGTCTGCTGCTTAGCACATCCACCTTGCAGTGTTGAGGTGCAGAGTTTGATTCCAGCTCCAGCCCTCCTGTGTGGTGTGGAGTTTGCATGTTCTCCCCGTACCTGCATCACGTTTCCTCCGGGTACTCGGGTTTCCTCCCCGATTCCGAAACCATGCATGGCAGGTGAATGAAACACTCCAAATTGTTTGATTGTGAGTGTGAATGGTTTTTCATCAATGTGTGCTCTGTGATTGGCTGGCAACCAGTTCTGTGTGTAGCCCGCCGACTGCCCAAAGATAGCTGGGAGAGGCTCCAACACGCCCGCGACCGTTGTGAGGATAAGCGGTTTAGAAAATGGATGGATGTAACACAAATTTATTAGTAGCAACTAGTAATTTAAAAAAGTTTAAAAATCAAACCTTTTTCATTTGTGCTTGTTGTTATTCTCTTACAATATTGATTTAACTCTGAAGGTAGATGGTCCAAGGGTATGATTCTTGCTTTGGTTGCGAGAGGTCCCGCTTTCAAATCCCGGATGAGCCCAGGTTTGGCTCCTCAAGCATTTACACTGGGGGCTGACTTCACTTCCGTTGGTAGCTTATTCCACTCATGTGCAGCATGACAGCTAAATGCTGCTTCACTATGTTTGCTTCGAGACCTCAAAGACATCCTCGGTTTTTTTACTCAATTAGCATTTCTTCATTGTAGTCAGGACCCGAGTATGGACAGGCTTGTGGTGGCTTGCCTTTGTCTTTGGTCCGTCCAGAGGCAAAAACAAGTGCAAAACATCGCAGTTGAAAGGATATAGAGTTACAAAATTTTACCTAATGGCATGTGGCTCGTTGGTCTAGGGGCATGATTCTCGCTTTGGGTGCGAGAGGTCCCGGGTTCAAATCCCGGATGAGCCCAGTTTTGGTTCCTCAAGCATTTACACTAGGGGCTGACTTCCCTTCCGTTGCCAGCTGCTTCACCATGTTTGCTTTGAAACCAGAAATGAGCATTTCTTCAATGTCGTCAGGACTGAAGTATGGACACGCTTGTGGTGGCTTTTCTTCGTCTTTGCCTCGTCCTGAAGCAAACACCACAAAATCAAGTGCAATCATTGACAACACTGAGCAGTTGAAAGGATATAGATTTAATGAATTGGTTCAAAGACAGGTGGCTCGTTGGTCTTGGGGTATGATTCTGTCTCGCACCCAAAGCGAGAGGTCCCGGGTTCAAATCCCGGACGAGCCCAATTTTGGTTCCTCCCTAAGCCAAGGAGTCAATACTTCCCGTGTGGGGTTTGCATGTTCTCCCTGTTCATGCGTGGGTTTCCTCCCAGATGCCGAAAAAATGTCTGGCATGTCAATGGAACACTCGAAGTTGTCCTTCGGTATCATTGTGAGGGCGAATGCTTGCTTGTCTTTGTGTGCCCTGCGATTGGCTGGCGACCAGTTCTGGGTGTACCCCGTCAACTGCTCGAAGACAGATGGGATAGGCTTCAAAGCATTTACACTTGGGGTTGACGTCACTTCCGTTGGCAGCTTATTCCACTGGGGTGGAGCATAGCAGCTAAATGCTGCTTCACCATGTTTGCTTTGAGACCTGGGCTGAATCTGCAGTCCTCAAAGACATGCTAGAGTTTTACTCAATTACCATTTCTTCAATGTAGTCAGGACTCACGTATGGACACGCATGTGGTGGCTCGCCTTTGTCCTTGCTCCAACCTGAAGCAAACACCACAAAAACCATGTGCGGTCCTTGGCAACACTTAGCAGTTGAAAGGATATAGAGTACTAAACTCTTAATTTAGACAGGTGGCTCGTTGGTCTAGGGGTATGATTCTCGCTTTGGGTGCGAGAGGTCCCGGGTTCAAATCCCGGACGAGCCCAGTTTTGGTTCCTTAAGCATTTACACTCGGGGCTGACTTCCCTTCCGTTGCCAGCTGCTTCACCATGTTTGCTTTGAAACCAGAAATGAGCATTTCTTCAATGTAGTCAGAACTCAAGTATGGACACGCTTGTGGTGGCTCGCCTTTGTCCTTGCTCCGCCCTGAAGCAAACACCACCAAACCAACTGCAATTATTGACAACACTGAGCAGTTGAAAGGATATAGATTTAATTAATTGTGCTAATGACAGGTGGCTCGTTGGTCTAGGGGTATGATTCTCGCTTTGGGTGCGAGAGGTCCCGGGTTCAAATCCCGGACGAGCCCAGTTTTAGTGTTTCCCTGAGCCAAGTAGTCAACACTTCCTTTGTGGGGTTTGCATCGTTTCCCTGTGCATGCATGGGTTTTCTCCGGGTTTCCTCCCACATTTCAGAAACATGTCTGGCATGTAAACGGAAAACTCTCAATTGTCCCTCCGTGTGATTGTGAGCAGGAATGGTTGTTTGTCTTTGTGTCCTGGGATTGGCTGGCGACCAGTTCTGGGCGTACCCCGCCGACTGCTCGAAGACAAATGAGATAGGCTTCAAAGCATTGACACTTGGGGTTGACTTCACTTCCGTTGGCAGCTTCTTCCACTGGTGTGGAGCAGAACAGCTAAATGCTGCTTCACCATGTTTTGCTTTGAGACCTGGGCTGAATCTGCAGGCCTCAAAGACAGACTCGAGTTGAATTCAATAACCATTTCTTCAATGTAGTCTGGACTCAAGTATGGACACACTTGTGGTGGCTCGCCTTTGTCCTTGCTCCGCCCTGAAGCAAACACCACAAAACCAAGTGCCGTCCTTGGCAACACTTAGCAGTTGAAAGGATATAGAGGATTTCACTTTGAAACTAGACAGGTGGCTCGTTGGTCTAGGGGTATGATTCTCGCTTTGGGTGCGAGAGGTCCCGGGTTCAAATCCCGGACGAGCCCAGTTTTAGTGTTTCCCTGAGCCAAGGAGTCAATGCTTCCTGTGTTGGGTGTGCATGTTTTCCCGGTGCATGCGTGGGGTTTCTCTGGGTTTCCTCCCACATTCCAAAAACATGTCTGGTATGTCAATGGAACACTGTAAACTGTCCCTTGGTGTGATTGTGAGCGTGAATGTTTGTTTGTCTTTGTGTGTCCTGCAATTAGCTTGCAACCGGTTCAGGATGTACCCCGCCTACTACCCAAAGACACCTGGGATTGCCTCCAAGCTTCAAAGCATTTACACTTGGGGCCGACTTCACTTCTGTTGGGAGCTTATTCCACTGGGGTGGAGCATAACAGGTAAATGTTGCTTCACCGTGTTTGCTTGAAGAGCTGGGAGCCACTCAAATTATCGCATTTGAAATAATATAGACGTAATTAATTTTTGTTCAGGCAGGTTGGCTCGTTGGTCTAGGGGTATGATTCTCGCTTTGGGTGCGAGAGGTCCCGGGTTCAAATCCCGGACGAGCCCGGTTTTACTGTTTCCCGGAGCCAAGTCGTCAACACTTGCTGTGTGGAATTTGCATCTTCTCCCTGTGCAAGCGAGGGATTTCTCCGGCGTTCCTCCCACACTCCAAAAACTAGGCTGGCATGTCAATGAACACTCTATATTGTCCCTTGGTGTGATTGTGAGCGTGAATGGTTGTTTGTCTTTGTGTGTCCTGCGATTCGCTTGCAACCGGTTCAGGGTGTACCCCGCCTACTACCCAAAGACACCTGGGATTGGCTCCAAGCTTCAAAGCATTTACACTTGCGGCCGACTTCACTTCTGTTGGCAGCTTATTCTACTGGGGTGGAGCATAACAGCTAAATGCTGGTTCACCGTGTTTGCTTGAAGAGCTGGGCGCCACCCAGTCGGACAAATCATCGCAGTTGAAAGAATATAGATGTAATTAATTGCTGTTAAAGCCGGTTGGCTCGTTGGTCTAGGGGTATGATTCTCGCTTTGGGTGCGAGAGGTCCCGGGTTCAAATCCCGGACGAGCCCAGTTTTAGTGTTTCCCGGGGCCAAGTAGGCAACACTTGCTGTGTGGGATTTGCACCTTCTCCCTGTGCAAGCGTGGGATTTCTCCAGGGTTCCTCCCACACTCCAAAAACTTGGCTGGCATGTCAATGGAACAATCTAAATTGTCCCTTGGTGTAATTGTGAGCGTGAATGGTTCTTTGTCTTTGTGTGTCCTGCAATTGGCGAGGTACACCCAGAATTGGTCGCCACAGTTCTGGGTGTACCCCGCCTACTACCCAAAGTTACCTGGGATAGGCTTCAAGCTTCACAGCATTTACACTTGGGGCTGACTTCACTTCTGTTAGCAGCTTATTGCACTGGGGTGGAGCATAACAGCTAAATGCTGCTTCACCGTGTTTGCTTGAAGAGCTGGGCGCCACACAAATCATCACATTTGAAATAATATAGATGTAATTAATTTTTGTTAAAGCAGGTTGGCTCGTTGGTCTAGGGGTATGATTCTCGCTT